ACCTTTAGGGTAAATTTTTATGAAGAGCAGTACACATGTGTCTCCTTACAGATGACTTATTAGTCTGAGGGAGGGGGAAAGCCCTAGTAATTAATTCGTGGAGAAATCAGGCAACACCTCAGCCAGGTGATCAAAATGAACATTACCTCTGAGAGACAGATGGACACTGCGTGCCTCCAGATGTGACAGCCAGAGCAGGACACACCATTGTGTGTGCAGTTTATTGGCCAAGAACGCATAATCCCAATCCAATCAGGAGCAAGCATGAGAAGAACACAATATGAGGATGGTCACCTTAAAAATTATGTGGGAGGGGCTGTCCTTTCCAAAAATATCAGTCATGAAAGTCAATAAAGGTGAAAGAGACAAGACAACGAAATGCAACACATTGACTTTAGACTGGCTCCTGTGCCAGAGAGTAAAGAAAATCTGCAGAGGCGAGCGTTGGCCAACGGTAACACTGTAGGTTAGATAAAGTATAAAAGCAAATTCGTGATAAGCAGATATATGTTGTCTTATTTTTGCTTCTTTCTTAAAAAAAGGTAGCATATTACATATGATCCTCTGCATTTTGCTGTTTTTATTTAATATGCCCTCAAAATGACTCCATGTCAGTGAATAGAGATTTCCTTATTCATTTATATACCTGCAGAGAGTCCCACTGTGTGTGTATAACTATAGTATATTAACCAATTCCCATAGTTGAACATTTAGGTAGTTCTTGCAATACAAGACAGTTTTTGCAATTACAAATAATCCCGCCATGAATAGCTTTGTCATATATGTTTTCAGATTGTTGGAGGTGTATATTATGGATAAATTCATGGAAGTGTGATTGTGGGGTCGAAGGGCAAATGTATATGTTAAATTCCCCTCTGCCAGGTCTGGACCATATGCATCCCCACTCCAACTCCCCGTAGCCTGGCTAGTGGAGTATATTGTCAACCTCTGCATTATTGCCAATCTGACGAGTGAGAAATGATTTCACACCGTAGTTTTAAATTGCATTTACTGTGGAGCACCTGGGTGGTTCAGTCACTTAAGTGTCTGACTCTTGATTTCGGCTCAGATCATGATCTCAGGGTTGTGAGACTGAGCCCAACGTCAGGCTCTGTGCTCATCATGGAGCCTCCTTAAGATTCTCTCACTCCCTCTCCTTCTGTCCCTCCCCACCTCTAATAAAATAAAAATAAAAATTCTTTAAAAATCAAAAATCTCATTTATCTTGTGAATAAAGTTGAACATCTTTTCATTTGTTTAGGGGACCTCTTCCTTTTTAAAAAAAAAAAAAAGATTTTGTTTGTTTATTTTAGAGAGAGCACATCAGTTGGGGGACAGAGGGAGAAGGAAAGGGAGGAGTAGGCTCCCCTCTGAGCGGGGAGCCCAACATGGGGCTCATTCCCAGGACCCTGAAATCATGACCTGAGCTAAAGTCAGATGCTTAACCAACTGAGCCACCCAGGCACCCCTCATTTGTTTTGTTTCTTAAATTCCACCTACAAATGAAAACATATGGCGTTTGTCTTTCTCTGGTAGACTTATTTCTCTTAGCGTTATACTCTCTGGTTCTATCCATGTTGCTACAAATGGCAGGATTTCATTCGTTTTATGGTTGAATAATATTCCATGATATGTATATCACATCTTCTTTATTCATTCATCTCTCAATGGATGCTTGGGCTGTTCCCATAATTTGGCTATTGTAAATAATGCTGCAATAAATATCAGGATGCATGTATCCCTTTGAGTTAGTGTTTTTTTTATTTTGGGGGTAAATACCCAGTAATGTGATTACTGAAGCATAAGGTCATAGCATAGTTGTATTTTTTTTCTTTTTTTTTTAACATCTAATTTTATTTTATTTTTTTTAGTGTTTGAAGATTCATTTTTTATGCACCACACTCAGTGCTCCATGCAATATGTGCCCTCCTTAATACCCACCACCAGGTTCACCCAACCCCGCACTCCCTTCCCTCCAAAACCCTCAGTTTGTTTCTCAGAGTCCACAGTTCTTTCATGGTCTGTCTCCTCCTCCGATTTCCCCCAACTCCCTTCTCCTCTCTATCTCCCAGTGTCCTCTGTGTTATTCCTTATGCTCCACAAGTAAGTGAAACCATATGATACTAGACTCTCTCTGCTTGACTTATTTCACTCAGCATAATCTCCTCCAGTCCCGTCCATGTTGATACAAAAGTTGGGTATTCATCCTTTCTGATGGAGGCATAATACTCCAGAGCATATACGGACCACATCTTCTTTAGCCATTCACAGTTGAAGGGCATCTTGGCTCTTTCCACAGTTGGGTGATTTTTGAGGAACTTCCATACTCTTCCACAGTGGCTGCACCAGTTTGCATTCCCATCAACAGTGCACAAGTGTTCCCTTTTCTCCACATCTTCCCCAACACTCGTTACCTCTTGTCTTCTTGATAATAGCCATTCCAACAGGTATGAGGTGATATTTCGTTGTGGTTTTGACTTGCATTTCCCTGATGACGAGTGATGTTGAGCATCCTTTCTTGTGTCTATTGTCTGTCTGGATGTCTCCTTTGGAGAAATGTCTGTTTATGTTTTCTGCCCATTTTTAATCGCATTATTCATATTTTGGGTATTGATTACATTCTTTATACATTATACATTACATACTTATACATTATAAGTACATACTTGATACATTCTTTATGCATTTTGGATACTAACCCTTTATCTTATATGTCATTTGCAAGTATCTTCTCCCATTCTGTAGGTTGTTTTCTACTTTTGTTGATTGTTTCCTTCATCATGCAGAAGCTTTTTATTTCAATGTAGTCTGAATAATTTATTTTTGCTGTTGTTTTCCTTGCCTCAGGAGACAAATCTAGAAAGATATGTTATGGCTGATGTCAGAGAAATTATTGCCTGGGCTGTCTTCTAGGATTTTTATGGTTTCAGATCTCACAGTTAAGTCTTTAGTCCGTTTTGAATGTATTTTTGTGTATGGTGTAAGAAAGTGGTCCAGTTTCATTCTTTTACAAGAGCTGTCCAGTTTTCCCAACACCATTTGTTGATGTGACTCTTCCCATTGCGTATTCTTTCCTCCTTTGTCAAAAATTAATTGACCATATAATTGTAGGTTTATTTCTGGGTTTTCTGTTCTGTTCCTTTGATCTATGTGTCTGTTTTTGTGCCGGTAGCATACTGTCTTGATTATTATAGCTTTGTGATAATCCCAGTTTTGTTTTTCTTTTCAAGATTGCTTTGACTATTTGGGGTCTTTCGTGGTTCCATACAAATTTTAGGATTGTTAATTCTAGTTCTGTGAAAAATGCTCTTGGTATTTTGATAAGGATTGCATTAAAAGTGTAGATTACTTCGGGTGGTATAGACATTTTAACAATATTTATTCTTCCAATCCATGAACATGGAAGGTCTTTCCATTTCTTTGTGTCTTCCTCAATTTCTTCCAACAGGGTTTTAGGGTTTTCAGAGTATCGGCCTTTCACCTCTTTGGTTAGGTTCATTCCCAGGTATCCTACTGGTTTGGGCACAATTGTAAATGGGATTGATTCCTTAATTTCTCTTTCTGCTGCTTCATTATTAGTGTATAGAAATGCACCAGGGGTGCCTGGGTGGCTCGTGATCTCAGCTCAGGTTTCAATCTCAGGGTCATGAGTCCAAGTTCCAGTCTGTGTGGAGCCTACATTAAAAAAAAAAATGCAGTAGATTTCTATACATTGATTTTGTAACCTGTGACTACTGAATTCATTCCATTTCTTGAATTTTTTTAAAGCTATTTATAAACTTGGTATATTAGCACTTTATCTATAATATGTACTGTCAATATTTTCTTCTAGTTTGCCAATGACTTTTTTTGGTCATGCAAAAGCATTTTCATTTTATTATCATGCAGTCAAATGAATATTTTTTTCTTTTATTGCCTCTGGATTTTGAGGCATAATTTTATTTTGGTTTTTTAAAAATTTATTTATTTGAGAGAGAAAGAGCACAAGCAGGGGAAGAGGCTGAGGTAGAGGGAGAAGCAGGCTCCCCGCTGAGCAGGGACCCCCCCTCCCCCACAATGTGCGGCTCAATCCCAGGACCCCAAGATCATGACTTGAGCCAAAGGCAGACTCTTAACCCACTGAGCCACCCAGGCATCCTGAGGCATACTTGTAAAAAAAATCCCCTCGACAGACATCTCCCAGGAATTCGGTTGTCATGATCAGCTTGCACATACCCCCACCCCACACACACTTCCCAGGACAAAAGTAGCACAATTCTTAAGCACCCACTTGGAAATTTGGCTCCCTTTGCCTATTTTGGGCATCCTTCTCCTCATCATTTACAAAAGACCAGGTCTTGTAAGGAGGAGGAGTTATGAGGTGTCCAAGAGCACTCTTCTGAATGAGGGATTCCATCACTAGGTCTTATTCAGGGAACACATGATCCCAGGGAACACTTGAGACCTCTTCCCGTGGTCTCTTCCGCACCATCAGGTCCTAGATGAGGCAGTGTGTGAGGCGAAGGTCTGGGACCGGCTCCTACCGTCTTCGTTCCCGCTCCCTCCTCTCGGCTGCTCCCAGCTGGGCTGGATGCAGGGTCTTGCAGATTCACCCTTGACCCTGCAGCAAAGGAATTCTGCTTGCGTTACCACGAGCCATCCAACAGAAGGATGCTGGGCTGGATCAAACAACCAGCTCTTATTCTTTCTCATTCCACCCCGAGGGTTTGAGCAAGGTGCAGAGACTATGCAGTTGAGCTGGCCTCTGTATCTTTACCAGCTTGTGTGAGATCATAAAATCTCCTTACCCACAGGCGTTGGGAAATCTCAGATCCTCAGTCTCTTGTTCTTATCTCTTTTCCCTTCTCCTCTGCTTACTGTCTGGTCACCTGGAGCTCCAGCGGGCTAACTTGGATTCAAAGGCGGGAATGGGCCCCGGTGTGGGGATTGCTGAAGCTGGAGAGGGGTGGGTGTGGCTCCAGGTTCCCACACCGGGTCTGACAGCCCTGGCTCCATCACAGTGAGGTCGGCCACTGGCGATGGAGATGCGTTGTGTGTTACAGAAGAGGAGCTGGCCGGTGACGATGAGGACATGCCGACCTTCCCATGCACACAAGAAGGTAAGGGCCCTGCGGGCTGCCCCCGACTTCCTTGTCCCCATCCCCAGGCTGGTGACTTATCTCTCCACATGGCTTCAGAATCATGATCGTCCTTTCCCCACTACTCCATGGAGGGTGGAAGGGCAGATTTGCATGGATCTCTGTTATGCCATACGGATGATGTCAAAGTCTGACACAAGTGACATCTGTCTCCAGGGCTCCTCCTGAGACCAGTCAGGGACCTCTGCCACCTCCCCCAGGGCCTATCCTCTAACTGGACCAGAACTGTCCCCTTCATCATATCCCTTGTCACCCAAGTGGCTCATCCTCTTGGCCTACAGGACCCAGCTTGGCACTTAGATAATCTCAGAAACCAATGCCACCTGAACCGTTACGTGGAGGAGGGCATCTCGGTGGGTTTTGGTGTGGATTAACACAGCTGTTCTCAGCTGGCACTGCGTATTGTAACTACCCCAGGAAGCCCGTGACCAGCCCTCAGAAATCCTGATTCCTTTTGGTCTGGAGTGTGAAAGGGGCATTTGGAGTTTTCAACGTTCCCAGTACTTCCCAGTACTCATAATGTGCAGCTGAAGTCGAATCTGCCTTAGAAATGTCACAATTTCACAGCCGCATTCCCACTGGACCTTGGCCACATGCAAGAGTAGTCAGGAACACCTGGCTTCCTTCTTCTTCCATATCAGGGGCCCCAGCTGGTGGACTACAACCATTCGTTCCATTTCCAGGAGAACTGCTTGTCACCTGACAAGTTTGGGGACTGAAGGGTTTCCCAGGGTGTGTGACTGGTTGGCCCCATACTGAAGAATTCCCACAAGAGGAGATTTTTCAAGGCTAAAGCCCAGAAAACCCTAGGCACACTGGGACACATTGGTCACCCAAGGGTGAAACAAGGCTGGCTGCCCCGTGTTATGGACCACAATAAGGCCCATGTGTCAGGAAGAGGCGTTTCCCTATACCCTGGGCTCATTGACATTGCCCTCAGAGAGAATGGTGGCAGGGGGCGTTCTTTGAAGACCCCGACTCTGGTCTCTTCTATTGCTAAAACCTAGAGAGAACATGGTGAGATGGGCAGGCATGAAGATGGAGAACATCTCCCTTTCTGAGGCTGGTTTGAGATGGGATGAGACAGTTCAGAGCAGGGACATGAACCTGACCTCAACCTGCAGCCTCAGTCACTGGTTTCCTTTGTCCCCCAACAGGCCGGCCGGGCCCCCGCTGCAGCCGCTGCCAGAAGAACCTGTCTTTACACACATCGGTGCGGATTCTTTACCTCTTCCTGGCCCTGCTCCTGGTGGCCGTGGCCGTGCTGGCCTCTCTGGGTGAGTGCAGGCGCCCGGCAGCCGCGGGGTGGTCCAGCATCCTTCTGACAGGGGAATCTTCATACTTGATTCAGACTTCAAAGACCAGCCTCTGATTTCCAGTCAGTATGTAGCTGTGTGGATTTGAGCAAGGCATTCCCCTCTCGAGACCTCTGTTTTCTCTCTGGTAAGATGAGAGGACAGGACCAGCCCAGCGGTTCCCAGTTTCAGCTGCATGTTAGAATCACCTGCGAGTTTTGAAAAAAATATCGTATGTGTGGGTAAGTATATCCAGGGTTGAGATCCTTGCACCGGGCATTTTGGAAACCCCTTCCATGGTCTTTGTGAGCGTTTCTCGAAGTGAGATTAGATGCCTGCCTACATCAAGATCACCCCCAGTATTTGTTAAAATGCAAATCCCTGAGTCTCACTGGGACCTCGCTTGTTTGAACAGAGTCTTGCCAGTGAAGGCCGGGGACCTGGAGTGTGGTGGCTGTCATACACACCACAGCTTGTACGACTATGGGAGCCAACCCAGATGATAGCTCACAGCCGGGTTCAGTCAGCCTTTGCCTTCTGGATGCTAACAGATTATGCTAAATGGAGGGAACCAAATTTGCTGTCCACCATTCTGAGGTAGCAAACTGGACATCAGGGAAATTCCCCAGTCTGTTCCTGGCCAGGCCTCACGGGGCCTCAGCTCTCCGCACCCGCAGGACCATGAATAAAGCTCCAAAAGCCACAGGCTTGAGCCCAGAGAGGAACACAGGCACCGACGCCCTTCAGCGGGTATGAGCAGTGATGGGGTGCCCACCAGGTGCCAGGCACTGTCGCCTACATGACGTCTACAAATCATCTCAACAAGCCCTGAAACAGAAGGCTGGCCTCATTCCATGTTTCTGGGAAGGTGAAAGGATTTTCCCTAAGACCCAGAGTGAATGACCAGAAGATCATAATAACTGGGTGGTAAGGAGAGCATTTGCGGAATCCAGGAAGAACATTAGGCTTCCTTTTTGTTTTTGCCTCCAGCCTGGTCGTCCCAAGTCCCTAGAGCAGAACTGGCACATCCTGACCTAGTTGGCAGGTGCTCAGTAATACTCGTCAAATAAAGACTAGAGATTTGGGAGTATATATGTAGACAGTCGTAGTCAAGGTATTATGGTCAGGACTGAGGATAAAATCCGGAGGTTGAGTAGAATCTGTCTTCCTCAAAGGGACTTGGAAATTCAACTTACTCCTTTAATCGGGTACCTGTTGCATGCATACTATAAGCCAAGAACTGCATTAGGCATGGGGCTTATACTGCTTCAGAAAACATAGGCCCTGTTTATGGAGCTCATAATCTAGAGCAAGGTTTGGCAGACTTCCTGTAAAGGGCTCGGTAGTAAATATTTTAGGATTTACGGGCCACACATGGTCTTTGTCAAAACCACTCTGCTGTTGTAAAGCAAAAGCAGCCAGACACAATATGTACTAAATGGAGATGGCTTTGTTCCATCTTGGGTCAGATGCGACATGTAGATCCTGCTTTGCCAGCCCTTAGCCTAGACCAATAATTTACGAACCTTTTTTGACTGTGTACCCATTGGTAAAAGTTTGATTTAAAATGTATCAAAAAAGTAGATGGGTTGATGAACAGATAAAAAGGTAAAATGGCAGATGTACAATGAAGTGAATACAAGTAAAATGTTAATTATAGAATGTAGTCAGTAGACACACGACTGCCAGTTGTACAAGTAAGACAGTCACTGTCCAAGCCTTGATTACTCTGTTTGAAAATGTTTATACTTAAATATTTGAAAATAAAAAAACGATCATCTTACACTTGTGAAATATGCCTATTTATTTATAAATTACACATATGTTCTCTTTATAGTATACATTATAAGACAATTTTGAAAAGATGAGAAAAAGATAAGATCTAAAAAATAAGGAAAATGGTAAACAAAAAATATGTAATTACAGATCATGAAATGCTCAGTGAAGAAGTGAACAGGTGAATTATATGAATGAACCCTTGGCTACTGGCTTGGGGGTAGACTTTACAAAGCATTAGGATAGGAATCAAAGTCATTCAGAGTTTCTACACCTCCGTTCCCCGCCATCTATATAAGAAATTTTAATTTGGGGGACACTCAAATGGAATAATAAATACTATAAACTCTAGGTGCTGGTGGAATAGAAGGGCATCAAACTGTTCCTAGGGTCTCTCACCATGTCACTGCTGCTAATTAAGTCTCAGCAGCTTTGAGATATACAATGTTAATGAAAGCCCAGAGATTCAAAACAAAATGGAATCATGGAATTTTGGAGCTGAGGAGAACATTGGAAGTCATCTAGCTTCATACTTTCCTTTTACAGATGATTCATTTGAGCTGCAGAAAAATTAACTGCCTTGCCTGAAGACACCCAAAAGATCTGAGGCAAATGTGGACCAGAAGTTACATTCCCCAGCTTTCTTGGTAGATCTGTTTCCACCCCCACACTTACCTTCATAGGCTCTGTGGGAAACATCCATCTACTCCGTCCTCTCCTCTTACCTCCCTGTCTAGTCAGGCACTTGATAGAGAAAGCCAGGGATCCTGTTGATGCCCAGATGTTCTCTAAACCCAGGCCAGCACTGACTCCTAAGAAGCTGGTATAAACTGGTAAAACCTTTCCTAGGGGTCACTTTGGCAACATGTGTCCAACTCCTTAACCCATTAATTCTGCTTCAAGCAATTTATCCTATGAGAATAACCATATACATAAAACCATCAAATGTAAGGATTATTTCTAGGAATAACTGTTACTCATATCTACCCACCAAGTTTTATTTGTAGACTCAGAAGTGTCCCCCAAGCACAGGGGACTTTTATACAATTGCTGAGTCATTTATACAGAGTATGATACAAACATTAAAAGTAATGATCCTAAAGTGATTTAAACCTCAATAAGAAAATGTCCATGACATTATATCAACGAAGCAAATTGGAAGAAAATAGATGAAATAGTCCAAACATTCCAGGTTCCTGTTGTTGTTTTCTAAAAAAGTATACATATATCTATGTAGCTACAGAATGGTTATGGAGATAAGAGTCCAACAGATACACGAAGATACTAATGGCTATTGTCTCTCAGTCGTAGGATTAAGAATAATTTCTATGCTCTTTTTGTATTTTTTGTATTTTTTTCTTAATTTTCCTTATTCTAGTCTATCCTGTGGTCAGATCTAGTTTTAAATGTGGAGGGGGATACACACGTGCACGCACACACACACACACACACACACACAAACATATATACATACGAGTATATATATCCATACATAGAAACACTTAAGGGAGATATATAGATGTAGATCTGTGTTTTTAAGGAATGCATGACAATCTCTGGCCATGAGAAGCATCTTCCCTTCCCACCACTGAAAAGCCCCATAAAAAGGGGAATGGTTTTGGTGGCAGAGAGTTTGATAAAAACACCTTCTCAACAAATGACTTCTGTTTCTCTGAGCTAAGACCCTGCCCCAGCTTCTCATCTGTATTTCCCATACAGTTTTCAGGAAAGTGGACTCTCTCTCAGAAGACATCACCCTGGCCCAGGCCATTTATGACAAGAAACTTTTGTCTATGCAGGAAAACCTCCAAGGACTGGGTAAGTGTCCCATGTCCAGATGTGCACATGAGTATGATGGAAGACCAGTAATAATGGGGGAGTGCTGAGTGCTCCCTCAGGCCATGGTGGCCTAGAATAGGACATCCTTCACCAACCTTTGAGACACAAGGGAAAAGACAGCTATGACTCCCTGCCTCCCTGTCCATTCAAAGAGGGCTGCTGCCCTGGGATTCACCTAGGACTGGGGCCAAGTGTTCTATGTGGTTCAGATCTAAACCCGAGCCTACAGGTAGAGAAGGAACCTAAAGAAAGTCCGTTCCTCAGTCATTCTCATGTATCTGAGATTATGATTATTTTAAAAAGATTTATGTATTTATTTGAGGAAGAAAGAAAGCACTAGTGCGTGCAGGTGAGGGGCAGAGAGAGAGAGGGAAAGAGAGACAAGCAGACTCCCTGCTGAGCAGGGAGCCCAATGAAGGGCTGCATCCTAGGACCCTGAGATCATGACCTGAGCCGAAATCAAGAGTCAGATGCTTAACCAACTGAGCCACCCAGCCACCCTGAAATTATTTTTAAGATCTTCCAAAGCCTCTTGATAAGTCAAGTCTACCCTACCCTACCGTACGCTACCAAGTCATGATGCTATCTCCTGCTTTAACCAGGGATCTTCTCATTCCAAGACTGAGACAGAAAGAGCCACAATAGAAAGGGTAGAGGAGGTCAGCCATGACAGAAAGAGAAAGTACTAGCTGAGTGATAAATTTAGCAAACCTCTTCTCTGTGCCTCATTTCTCCTCTGTCACAGGGAGAAATAATCCCCATACCATCTTTCCCCCCATAAGTTTGTCGATAATAACAACAAACATATTTGGAGAAATTTTAAGACAAAATATAAATGGGTGGTTCTTGGCAACCTTAGAAAAGTTATGAAGCTATATTCTCAAGAATTCAGTGGCGAGATAGAAAAAATGTCCCCAGTTCTACATTTTATGTCATAGTAAAGACATTTGGTAAAATAATGTTTCATAGAGATGGTAAGGCTTTTTCAAAAGGTTTTCATAGCAGGCTTAGGATAGGAAGAGGGATCAGGAAGCCACTTGACAATCCATTATGCTCTGATATATGTAAAGAAGCAACTTTCGTCCCATGATCCTTCAGCAACTCAAAATGTTGTCCCTTTTCCCTGAAGATCTGAAAGCCCCATACAACTGTTCTTTCTGCCACGAGGCTGGGCAGCTGGAGCAAGAGATCAGAAAACTGCAGGAGGAGCTGGAGGGAATTCAGAAGATGCTCCTGGCCCAGGAGGTACAGCTGGACCAGACGTCTCAGACCCACGAGCTGCTCTCTACCACCAGTAGTCAGATCTCCCAGGAGATGGGCAGCTGTTCCTTCTCCATCCACCAGGTCAACCAGTCTCTGGGGCTCTTTCTTGCCCAGGTGAGAGGCTGGCAGGCCACTACGGCTGGCCTGGACCTCTCTTTGAAGGACCTCACCCAGGACTGCTATGATGTCAAGGCTACGGTCCACCAGATCAACTTCACTGTGGGGCAGACCTCGGAGTGGATCCATGGGATCCAGCGCAAGACTGACGAGGAGACCCTGACCCTCCAGAAGATGGTTACCGACTGGCAGAACTACACCCGGCTCTTCGGCGGCCTGCGCACCATCTCAGCCAAGACCGGAGAAGCAGTCAAGAACATCCAGGCCACCCTGGGGGTCTCCTCGCAGCGCATCAGCCAGAATGCCGAGAGCACACACGACTTGGTGCTGCAGGTCATGGGCCTGCAGCTGCAGCTGGATAACATCTCGTCCTTCCTGGACGACCACGAGGAGAACATGCACGATTTGCAGTACCACACCCGCTATGCCCAGAACCGCACCATGGAGAGGTTCGAGACGCTGGAAGGACGCATGGCTTCGCATGAGATCGAGATCAGCACCATCTTCACCAACATCAATGCCACCGACAACCACGTGCACAGCATGCTCAAGTACCTGGACGATGTGCGGCTCTCCTGCACGCTGGGCTTCCACACGCACGCCGAGGAGCTCTACTACCTGAACAAGTCTGTCTCTCTCATGCTGGGCACCACGGACCTGCTCCGGGAGCGTTTCAGCCTGCTCAGTGCACGGCTGGACTTCAACGTCCGCAACCTCTCCATGATCGTGGAGGAGATGAAGGCTGTGGACACGCAGCACGGAGAAATCCTTCGCAATGTTACCATCGTAAGAGGTAAGAGCCAGACCTGGACCACGTCTGCTACGGAGCCCCCAGAGGGCTGTGGTAATCTTGCCTGACGCAGAAGTTTCCAGCAAAAATCCTGGTAGGCTCATACAATCCTGTAGCAAATGCCAAGGGCAACTGGAAGCTTTAAGAAACACAGTAAGTCCCTCCCCCCTTATCTGTGGTTTCAATTTTCTCCTAATAAGGTATCCTCTGAAGGTCAGTGGCAGCCTAATGCTACATCACAGTGTCTGTGTCCTTCACTGCGCTTTTCCTCATCATTTAGGCATTTTATCACCTCAGGGCATCACAAGAGGGGTAAGTGCAGTACCATTGATATTTTGAGAGGAGACAATATTCATTTAATGCCTAATTTATGTATTAAACTTTATCATAGGGAAGTATATACAGGAAAAAGCAGGCTGTGTCGGGGGTCTTGGAACATAGCCATTGCAGATAAGGGAAGACTACTGTACTTACAAACCTCTTTTGTAAAGGTGCTGTGGCTCCTAACTTTGCCTGCCATACAAAACTGGATTTTCATATGTGGATTTGTTTGATCTGGTTCACACAGAGAAATAGGCAGCCCTCGTCTTGGAAACCCTGTTTTCACATTTTCTCCCTTCCCACCTGATCGCAGGGGCGTACAGCCACCTGCCCCTCGGGATGTCCATCACTCTGATGCTATCTTTTACTCTCATCTCACCCCTGAATTAGCCAGAGTTCTCCAGAAAAACAGAACCTATAAGAGAGAGAGAGAGAGAAATTATTTTAAAAATTGGCTCATGTAACGAAGGAGGCCAGCACGTCCAAAATCTGCTCAGCTGATGTCCCGGTTTGAATCGGAAGGCCAGAAGCTGCTGTAGAACAGGAGGAAGTGATGGGTCAGTGTGAAGGCTACCAGGCAGGAGAATTCTCTGTTACATATAGAAGGGTTGGTCTTTGGTTTTATTCAGGTCTTCAACTGCTTAGATGAGGCCCACCACATTAGGAGAGCAATCTACTTTACTCAGTACCAGTTTAAAATATTAGTCTCATCCATAAACACCCCTACAGACACAACCAGAATAATGTTTGGCCAAATGTCTGGCCACTCTGTGGTCCAGTCCTGTTGACACATAAAATTAACCTCCACAGATCAACTTGGCACCCGTGCACATCTCCTTAAATCATACTTAATCTCCAAATAGGGATACTAACAAGGCTACAATTCTGCCTAATACTCATGATGCGAGTATCCTGTGTACAACCAAAATCACACTCACCCCTTCCCCAGAAGAGAAGGTAAAGTCCTTGAGAGATATTTACTTTTCCCTTTGATATCTCATAACTTAAATACTATGACATAAAGTTAACAATATTTAAATACTGTGATATAAAGTCAATATATTTTATGTTTTATGTTACATGCTAAGAGGATAAGAAAGGGAAGAAAGCAAAAATACTTGCTATATTCATTTATATTTATATATTTATAACACACCAAGGAGGAAATACTCTTGACAAGGAGTACATGGTCATGACTGGTATTTATAACTTCTCCTTCTACGACCCATGTGTATTTTCTTTGTCCTCAGCAAGCATCTTAGCTGGTTATTCTTTACCTGGTAAGGTGATCCAAACCTTCATTCCCGATCTAGGGTCCTACCTAGATTGGACTGGGCTGTTGTAGTTTTCCACTGAATTTATTTCAGGACCTTCTGTGGGATCTTATGAATTCCAGACATGCTCTCCCTTACCTCCATTGTAGAGTAGTGGTCCACTTTCTCCTTGGTAGTCAGGATCAGCTACCCCAGTCAGCACAATATCTTCTTCCTTGCCTACTAATTCAGAAGCCTGAGAAGCCCAAAGTGACCAGGCAGCAGTCTTAACTTCCAGTTCAATGGAGTCATTGTTGTACCCTGGCAGAAACATTCCTTCCTTTCAAGCTAAGATCTCTAAGCCAGCAGAGCATAAGGTTGTGGGAATAAGAAGCAAACATTTTGCTGGTAGGTCACCAGGGGTGATAGTGGGTGGTGTCTTTCTCATCTCCACCCCTTGATCCCAGTTCCAGTGAATCCTGGCTATCAGAGAAATAGCACCATATATATTGGACACTAATTCAGACCGTATACAGCCCTGCAAGATATTGCCACCCAGCTAGCTCGGGAACTGAGTCTTCAAAGGACAATTCAATCTTCTGTCAAGCCAGCTGTTTCAGGGTGGTGAGGACCATGGTAACACCAGTGAATTCCATGATCATGGACCCATTGTTGTACTTCATTTGCTGTAAAGTGATTTCCTTGATCAGAAGCAACGCTACATTGGAATATCACGGAATACCATGATGGCGGATAATGCATTCTGTATGGCATTTTTTGGCAAAAGCACTTCATGCAGGGAGGGCAAATGCATATCCAGAGTAAGTTCCTATTCCAGCAGGGAAAAAACATTGCCCCTTCCATGATGGAAGCGGTCCAGTATAATTAAACTGTCAGCTCGTAGCTGGCTGATCACCCTGTGGAATGGGGCCATACTGGGGATTTGCTGGTGGTCTCTGCTGTTGGCAAATTAGGGACTTGGTGGGAGCCATGGCCAGGCTGGCCTTGGTGACTGGAGGGCCATGTTGCTGACCCCGTGCACAAAATCCATCCCTTGAACCACCCATGAACCACTTTGTTCATGAGCCCATTGGAGGATGACAGGGGTGACTGGAGGAGAAGGCTGACTAGATACTGTGACTATCTCACAGTATAGATCATGCTATATCCACTTGATTGTTAGAATCCACCCCTGCTGAGCTCACCCTTTGGAGAATATTCACGGAGGACACAAATGTCTTCATCCTTCGGAGAGGATTATTCACATAACTCTTCCCCAAATTTTCTTGTCACCAGTTTTTCAGTTGTGTTTCTTCTAAGTCCCTGACTGTCCAGCCAAACCATTGGCCACAGCCTGTGAAGCAGGTTATAATCACACGTCTGACCATTTCTTCTTCCAAGAAAGCATGGCAGCCAGGTAGACTGCCAGAAGTTCTGCCCACTGGGAAGATGTTCGGTTACCACTGTCCTTCAGGGAAGTCTCAAAGAGGGGCTGTGATGTTGCAACTGTCCACTTTCAAGTGATGCCTGCATATCATGGAGAACCAATTGTAAACTAGGCCAGAATCTTCTCTTCCTCCATCAGCTGGTCATAGGGAATTCCCCATAATTCCATAGGTGCAGGCTGGGAGAGAGATGGTAGTATAGTAGAAGTAGGGACCATGGCTATTGGGCCACTTTATCCTGTAACTTAACTTGTGCATTCAGGGCCTGCTCAGGCCTGATTACATATATACCACTTCCCATTGGATGACGGAATGTGTCTCTGTATGCCCAGCTTTGTAACTCAGTGGGTCAGGAAGTACCCAGTTCAAGATGGGCAACTCGGGTGTCATGGTAACTTGGTGGCCCATGGCTAGCATCTGGTCTCTACCCAAGCCCTATCACAGCCCAAGAGCTGTTTCTCAACAGGAGAATAGTGTGACCCACAGATGATGGCATGGCTTTGCTCCAAAATCTGAAGGATCTATAGTGTAGTTCAATAGGGGTCTTCCAAAGGCCCCATACAGCATCCCTACCATCACTGCCATGTTAAACACCATTGGGTCTGCTGGATCATATGGCCCAAGGGGCAAAGTAGCTTACCTCGTAGCCCAGAGCAGTTGCAGAGCCTTCTCTTGTCCTGGGTGCCACGCAAAGCCAGCACCTTTTCAGGTCACTCAGTAAATGGGCTGGAGTAACACACCCAAGTGAGGAAGATGTGTACATTGCCCCCACTAGGCATGCCTCTTTTTTCATTATAGGAGGGGCCAAATGGAAGTTTAGTCTTCACCTTAGAAGGGATATCTCAACATGCCCACATCACTGGACCACTAAGAATTTTACTGAGGTAGAAAGCCCTTGAAATTTTTTTAAAATTTATTTGAGAGAGACAGAGGAAGCATGAGCAGAGAGAGGGAGAAGCAGACTCCTCACTGAGCAGGGAGCCCGATGCAGGGTTCGATCCCAGGACCCTGAAATCATGATGTGAGCGCAAGGCAGACACTAAACCGACTGAGCCATTCAGGGGCCCCAAAGACACTTGAATTTTTGTCATATTTATGTTCCCCCCGACACATAAATGTCTTGCAAAGAGCAAGCTACTACTTACTCGCTCACTAGGTTCAACTGGTATGATATCATCGATGACATGGAAAGGAGATCAAGTTCCCTGTGAACTGAAGTAAGACAGAACTGGAGCAGTGAGATCCCCTGAGGCAGGACAGTGAAGGTGTATTGCTGGTCTTGTCAGCCGGAAGCAGACTGCTTCTGGAGGGCCTTATGAACAAGTATGGGGAAAAACAAACAAACAAACAAAAAAACAAACAAACAAACAAAAACAATTCCCAAATCAATAGCTGCATCCCCAGGGATGTGTTAATTTTCTCAGGCCATGAAACTGCATCTGGTACAGCAGCCACCAGTTGGAATCAACCTTGTTCAGCTTATGAAAATCCACTGTCATTCGCCAAGGTCCACCTGTCCTCTGCACTGGCCAAGTCAGCAAATTTCAAGTTCTTGGTAGGGGTACTCACCTCTGCAGTCCCTCCAGGAATGCAGGATTGCATTGGTTTTACTATTTTCCTAGGTAGAGGCAGTGCCTCTTGGCTTTTCCACCATAATATCCCTTACTCCATGGATCAAGGAACCAATGTGAGGTTCTGCCAGATTCTCAGCATGTCTGTTCCAGTTATGCAATGCAGAACCATGGAAACAACCACAGGGTGGATTCAAGGGCCCCCTGGACTTCCTGTGAGATGGACCTCAGTTAAAACCCCATTGATCACCTGACCTCCATAAGCCCCCAGCTCAGACTGGAGGACCACAGGGGGATTGGGGTCTCCCGGAATCAGTGTCCATTCAGAGCCAGTGTGTGGTAGTTCCCCAAAAGGCTGATTATTTCCTTTTCCCTAGTGCACAGTTATTTTGGTAAAAAAACTGTAGGTCCTT